TCTGATTTCGTTTCTTCATTAAAACTGCCGCTTTTTCTCCTACAAATAGAACGATCGTGGTTGAAGATAACTTGACATACATTTCATTCACAACCTTGTGGAAAAGAGGATGCGAAAGACTACATAATCCATAATACCATGGGGTGTAGTCAAGTGTGTGGTAATAGTTCTATTCGTTTTCATTCGGATGGGGACATAACATTAAATTCCACGCCGCCGAAATTGTCGGTCACACACGCATACACATTCGAATACAGTGGAGGCGTTATCCGATTCACTGGGGTGGGAGCATATAACAAATTAGACAGTTGGGATTCAGTTTGATCAAGTCTACATACACAGTGCCGTGAATTCTGCCAACAACGTTCCCTATTTTTCACTCATAAACGTCGTCACCTTTGTTGTGAACCATAGGGCATTCAAACCAGCTGGTAGAGTCGAGCAACTGACTAATCAAAACAATACGTATCTTGGTTTTTCACAGTTACGTTTAGGTAACTGTAATTTTTCAACATGAATCCGTTTTTTCCTGTTATGGCTTCAATATGAGTCAATGATATATCGACTGCCCTCAGACGATCCACTAAACAACAATACTCTCTGGAACGCTCATCATCAAAGGTCATCGACAACGTCGATCTGACCTGAGATAATCGCACTGAAAGTGGTGTTAAAGGTACTCTTTGTCAAGGTATTTCCGTGCCATTTAGATGACTGTCAATTTGAGACGCACCGGAATTTCTAGCATCCAGAAAGTAATGTGACCTGAGTTAGGCTTAGAGAACACATGTTCGGTGTATTCATGAATATAGATTTGAAGTCATACTAATTTTACGCAAGTAATGATTCTATCCATATCAGTATATTTGTTCAAAAAAGTCTCTCGATGATGTATTTCAGTGTTTTGATTGTAAGAATAGCAGAAACAGGCTATAGTCTGTGGATGGCGTTTCCCCCAGGAGTGCGCCAATCCAAAAACGCGCAAATTCCGTGTTTTATTTTACCACATTCATGTACCTGAATATGCCATAGCCGGGGGTCTGGATTGGTGCAAAAGGGGAAAATAAACTAATATTTCGCTCGGATTTGGCGAATTCATATGGCGACCAAGGACTCCGAAACACTATCGGAAGCCTGCCAAGCAGTCGACGCTATCAGACAACTGCAAAGTGATCGTTATTTCATCTTCTGTACAGCGATCCTGTAACAGCAGTTGGATCAAGTCGAAGGATGAATCATGGGAAGTCAACTAAAAGTGCAAGATAGAGTAACGTGTCTCCCTGTGTAGCAGTTCTTTACGACGTTTCAGACTACCTCATAGCTATCACCCGTTATATATCATCCTACTCGTGGCCTATTTTGAGCCACCTCCGTTCATTGGACCTCCGAACATTTTGCCCCCTCTCATTGCAGTCTCTCTTCACTATCCCAGATTTACTAATGAGAAACCAACTCTCAATTCCGCACATGCCTCAGTGACTGCGCATACGAACACAAGACGATAATTGTAAAGAGGAATGCCTTTCGCCGTGACCTAAGCAACTAGCGGCATCAGCTGTGGAAGAAGTTCAAGTGCCAAATACCGCCCAAAATAAGAACACCATAAAACGACTGATAGGAGTCCAAAAATGGCACTTTCGGCGCATGGATTCTGACATGTCCTCTAGTGTTTTTTGTTTATCTCTGGAAGGAATTGTGAGATAACAAAGTTAATGGTGAAAAAATAGGGACAGCAGGTAGAGGAAGATAAAGCGTACGACCGGAGAAAGTGGGCGTCATGCAGAAAGTGTGAAAAACCAATTGGGACAGAGGTTCACTCATTTTTAACATGGTCAACTGCATGACAACAGGATATTATGAGAGAGAAATGTTCACATGCGGTCCTAAAACATTTATTTGATAAATAGTCGTTGGTTGTCTTCTTGAGTGGATCTGTGGTATACAGCTTTGAAGACCTGGCCCCGAAAGATCGTAGATGAAGTACTTTTATTTCTGGTTTCTCATCGAGTTTGTGTTTTGTCACTGTAAGAAGGCTGGGCGAATTTCGATGACCTTACGTCCCCCCGACTCGCATCGTTGCGATATCTGCGGAGATAACTACGCTATGCTCTTTGAATCGGTTCAGAACCCAGGTGAGGCCACTATTTACGTTGGGCCCACTATGTAAAATACTTCTTAATGACTAACTGAGTGACTGCCCATCTTCCCCGGTTTTTTGATGTCGCGATCGATACTGAGCTGCTGAGCTGTCTGACAAGTTAGGAAAGCAAAACAGCATAAACAGATAGAGTGCAGGTGGTGGATCGCACATTGGAGCAAATTATCGCAACAATGCACATTAGTCTAAGTGACGGTTACGGTTGGTGTCTGTTCCGAGGCGTCACGGAAAGAAACCAGGAGCAAGATTTATCAAGAATATCCGGCTTTGAAGCGCAGCCCTTGACAATGGTCCACAATCTAAGTGGAGTACGTTTGAATTGGTCCAAAATACTTTATTATTCGTTTCCTTAAAACGTTTCAGCACTCGTGAGAAAACTGAAAATTATTATCGCCAACTTTATAGCGTCCGCTCAAAAGATTTACTGATTGTTTTCTGGTCAACGAGCAACATATTGAATATTTTCTCGGTCTTCAACTTCCAAATCAGGGGACTGCGCTGATCTTTTCACAGATAACAATTGACCTTTATTTGAATGATCTCGCAGTGTCCAACGCAGACGTTTTTTCGGCATGGGTGTAAGCAATGGTACCTCACATCTTGGATGTTGGTCAGGTATTACTTGACCCACTCATCGAGCCTGGTAGATGGTTTGCGAAAAAGATAAACTGCCACCAGCTCAACAGCCAGTATCAGTTGGAGTTCATTTAGTGAACTCTCACGATGCGCTTGAATGTTTTTTACCCTAGGTATGTGATCACCCCGTAAACTCTATACTCCATTGGCAGTTATTGGGTGCTTCCGATCATGAGATGGATACAGTCATTCCTGTAATCGATAAACATTTCAGAACCAATTAACATGCAGCTGATTGTTGTCATTCAATGAACACATACAAAAGCGCCTTCCACCAGACATCATCCGTTGTCTACCGTGTATGGTTTCCGTCACCCGGCTCAACCTGCAAAAATGGTTACGGTTGAGCAGAGTGATGACTTCCTGGTTTCTGGATAAGGTCTTGGACAAAATTAGCAGATAAGCCGGATCATTCCCTGTTATTTTCTCGTCTCTGGGAAGATACGCCAAACCAATGGAACTTGATTTGCTTGGAAATAATGGAGAGTAACCTAACTTTACCCTTTTATTCGTCCATGTTTCTGCTTATTTTAGTTTAACTCAGTTAACTCAGATAAACGTTGCAGGTGTGAGACGTTCCAGCAAATAATGCTTGAAGCGCATCCTGTGCTTGCTTACAGACCAGCCAAACTTTCTGTCATGCAGAATCCACTCACGTGACCGGATCGTCAACCATTGGAGTTTTTAGCACCAACCGGTTGATGTGACGGTCAAGCAACGTATCTGATCATAGGAGCAAACAGATTTAAACCTAGGAACTAACAAACCATCTAGGATGCAGGAGGATGCTGCCCATTCAGTTTTGGATTGTTTGTATTTTCTGGGGTGTTTGCGATGTAAAACTGTTCCTTGTGATCACGTCATTTTTATGAGCGAATATGTCCTTCCTTGAAGATATCATGCTTGGAAGTTGTCACATCACAAAGAGATGCATAATTCAATAAGAGGTGACGTATCGGAATGCTGTTGTTGATTGTCTCCTGCAATTCTCTCGTGCTCCAATAATAGATAAAAAGGAAACGTGTACTTACTTGGCACGACCTTAATGTGCACAGTAGGTGCATCGAGAGTAGTGGCTGGTAGATTTGCTACGGCGTGCAGCAAGGGATGTTTCCGAAGTCTAGTTTTTCCTTTTCAACTATAAAACGGCAATTTTTTCATTGGAAGTGTCCAGGTGGGTTCTTAAAGAGACGTTGCGTAAATCCCCATTCAGGTTCGTAAAGGAGGTTATGGGGCTAGCTTCGAGCTGTTTAGGACGGCTTTGCAAGCGTGCTCAACAGCTCTTCCTGTCAGGCAAGATCCCATGCTTGACCTTTTAAAGGGGATATACCATACTTCTAAGCGCAACAAGGATTCGAAGTAAATTGGCTTATCAGGATCCTTCGCTTGATGGGGACAAGCGCTTTGGCCTTTTCCATTATTTTCAAGAATCTTGCAACTTGCAAGTTACGCTGTAAAATGGCAGTTCATCAAGTACAAACACGAAACTCTCTCCCCATCAGTGGAATTGTTTGAAACAAAAACACGACACGCCGCTATCGAATAGACCGATGTTTTGTCTGGAATAAAATAATTATGAATCAAAGTGCAAATGCTGTTGCTAATTAGCAACTAACTTGCCGTTTTCAATAGCCACCCATTCGCGGACCAAGGTATTTCGTATTGATTAATGACCAGACCACGTGGTTGGCACAAGGCTAATTACACATAACAAGTTCTTTTGAGACTTGCAAGAGACTGGAAGTCTGTTCATTGGTTTCGTTTAAACATGTGAATATGTACTTGCGCACAGTCTGTCAAGAGGGGAAAATTTGATTTGTGGCGTCCTGCAATTTGACCCCCTACAATTTGTCCATCTATACTTGCGGCCAACAGAACATGTGCAAACCGTACAGTATATGTATTATCGGTTCTGTTGGATATGAAACAGGATCAACTAATAGTTTATTGATTATTCCTCACCCGTGTCTCTTCTGCTGGACCAGCCAATAGAACTTTGGACATTCTCCTTCTCAGGATAGCCAATCAAACTTCATCATTCATAAGTTTTTAAGCTTTGTCATTCATACGTTGCGTGCATTTGAGTTTCCAGGAGTCATTGTTTTCTTGCACACATCTATGCATTTCACACAGATACCCGGTTTAGTGGATGGCAATTACCTCTACAAACATGATGAAAAATAGTTCGTTGGTCGCTCTCCTCCAGAATCCCAAATTAAACGCGACAACAACGCACAATGTGGAAATATGGAGTGCGACTTTGGTTCAGCCCACAGTATGTTTTATGGGAACAATTCTGAACATATTGAACTTTATCGTGTTTCGTCAGCGACAGTTCACGGCCACGCCCTATTTGTATATGTCTGCACTGGCGATTGCCGACGCGGGCACCCTGCTCGTTTATCTACCAACAGGGATAACGAAGTATGTTCACCCAATAATTGTGATTTTTATTTGTTGATCCATCGTAGGATTAGGTAAAGTCCTCCCGCAATAACAAGCTTATAATTGTAACATATGAATGATAAAGTAATTTTTAGTTCTAAACAAGAGAATGCACCCGAAAATAACCACTGGGATTATTTGAGTTATCTATCTTTTACAAATTGAAAAATCTGGTTCCTCCACAAGTGTTCCGAAAGTGTGAGGTACCGGACGAAAGGAGGTCACTGGCTGGCGAGACATCTTTTGGATAGAATCATAATTTAAAGACAGAATCCCGGCATATCGTGTAACCCAGCAAACTGCAGAATCATATTTGGACCCAATCAAATAAGTCCGAAATTAGGTAACAAAAGAGAAGGAACAGAAGAACGTAATATCAAGCTCCTTCACCCTCGAATAAACTAACATGTTGTCGTTATTCCTAAATCAAGCACCACACAATTCCTACAGAATCGGCGAACTAGCGCCACTGACTCTTACGCCCAAGCATTAAAATTTTGAGTGCTGACCGCGTGTGAACAAACGTGTTTGTTTCAAAGATGCAATGAATGGGCGATAATGGTCATTGCCTTCCTACGGATGGTAGATACGGATGTTTTCCTACCACCCTTTGCACTTCAACTTGTGCAAATTCCATTATGTCCATTTAATATCGTCCCCTAGTTCTAATGATTTACGTAACCTAGGAAAGCATGAATGATGTGAGATTTTTCAGACTGGGTAGGAGTCTCTTTGATTAAGAGAACATGAACTGTACTAAAAGCTTTGAACATGGCCGTTCTATATGCCATAGCCGATGCATATGTGGTGCCCCAATGACATCTTCGCCAATCGATGGTCTTATGAAAACATGGGCTGTGATGCAACATTAGAGGTTCTGACCTTGCAATGTTTTTGAAAGATATCATTCATCTAAGAATGTGGTCCCACACAAATATTGTTTTATTAGTCTGACGGGAAATGTCTACATTTTATTGGCACAGGAACGGTAAATTGGAGCCCTTCGCAAATTGTTGTCTTTGTGTACCAAGTGAACTTGAGAGAAAGTAAAATTCATCCTGTTTTTTATGTCATACTACAAGAATTTGTATTATCCGTGAACCGTTGTATAATCCTTCTGGCTGAATAGAATAATTGTCATAATAGTGTTACCATGTGTTATTTGCAAATTTGGAACAAAAGATGGCTAGCTATTCCACTTTCATAATCGCTATGGTATACATATAACTGCAATGCACCGGTTAAGAATTACTATCGTTCACAGAGAACAGCGACTATCAGTCTGACAAACGAGCATAGTATATTTAGTTGCGCTTATCCACAACAGGCAAGTATTATCTTATCTTTAGTTGTGTCTGTGGGTTGTCGTACTGCTGTAGGACCCTTTCGGTGCCCAGCTGCCATGCCACCCAAAGGATGCATGAAAGATGTGATACTGCCAGGTTTCCAAAGTCTAGCAGGGTAAGTCGAGAGGCAGAGGCCGTTTCGAACCACGAACCTTCTTGTCAGTAAATCCGCGCTCTAACCACTGAGCCATCTCGCCCACTTCAGTTGGCTATTTACAGTTTGGTTTGTAAGTAGGAAACACCACAAAGGTACATATTGCCTGTTGATCAAAACACCAACGCGAATTTCAGTAACATCAACTGGCTTAGGGAGTAGCTGGAAATTAAGTCCGTTCGGCGGCATCCTGTATAAAATTCAAACACAGTGGAAGGGATGTTTTCTTCTTAAAAAGTCGATGCTATGCTGTAATGAGCAATAAAGTGTAGCTCGCCGAGTGAAGGAATGTTGGGATGTGGTAAGGACATGCTTACGTTCCCTGATGTTGCAATCAGCAGCCGTGTTCGTTGCGTTTATCCCAGCTGGTGCTCACACGAGTGTACGTTCTAGATAGCCTGTAAACAAACATAGGTGAACAGCAGCTGGCTCCATGCTTCACAGTATTTCCTAGCACTGCATCTATGATTGCACTATATTCCAATAGAAGGAACACTAGTCACTAGAAGTAGATGATGCATTCTGCTCGTTGTCAACAGAGCATCAAAAGGTTTCAGAGCTAGATCGCAAGTTCCGAAAGTTCCAACGCCCGTAGAACTTCCTATTGCACCGGCTTTTGCCCCAATGAAAAACTAGGTGTCTTTTGGAACACAGGACATCAAATCTGAGTAGGCCTGTTTTGGCCAACGACGATGGGGCTTGGAAGCGCTCAAATAAAGCGGCAAACAAGCTTGTGAGTATCGGTGATGAATATCTGAGACTGTGATACCTGGACACCTATCCCTTATTAGCAGTGCATAGACATTTCGAGAAATATCTATATCTTCTCGTACGGTGATAATGTGCACGGAACTACCATCTAGTCGTCTACGGAAATTAGACTCTAGACTTCAATCGACATAAATACCAGTGTTGGTACACTTACAACATGCAAAACTAAAATAGAAAAGTGCATTGTAGGGGTATTCAGACCTACTGTGATCAGAAGGTTACTATTTGGGTGAAAAAATGGTGGTCATATGGAGGAGAACTGTTGAACTTATGCGAATTCAACTTTAGTACAAATGGGATCTCCCTGACACATTCTAGTTGCATAATTATCTACTGGATAGACATTGATCTAATAGATGTTAAGACCAAAGACTTCACAGAATGAGACCATCGTTTGCCTGATGATCCAGTTCATCTAATCATCTCTTACCCTTTTCGGCCGGTCGACAGATATTGAGTACAGCCAGACAGTTTTATGGTAATGTTTTGCGGTGGACCAACACAAGTCTTCACTTCGCCGGGCTAAGATGCTCGAAACTGACACCGGATGACTTGCTTCGTACGCGGGAGAATTGAAATCATTCTCCTGTGCAAAACTGACTTTGAAACAGCCCTAAACTCACATCAAATTATAAGACGAGCTGTGACATACGAAGCGTTTATGTCTCTGTTGGTGGTCGTGTACTTCGTTCCTAATACCACATCATTAAGAGTTCAAACAAAACCAAAAAATTAACAGAGGGAGACCTCCTACTCTCTGTTAGCGGGAAAGCAATGTAGCCCATTAGAGCAGGGAAACCAGTAATTGGTTGATTCTCTTTCCGGGTAGGGAATCTCATCATCTAACACGATAGTGATTCAAGAAATCGCCCGATCACCCGGATGATACGGCAAGCTATTCAAGCACTCATTGCTTGTTTTTATGTATCAAAGCTTCCATCCTGTCCTTTGACACAAATATAATTCACGATAACTTGCGAATCAGCAGCCGTTCACTGTTGGATCAGCATTGGTTCATTCAGTATATTTTACGCAGAACTAATTTTGAGCAGTGTAACCTAGCATTGGAAAAAACAGTTGATTTAATATCTTTGATGGTTTTCGTGTCAAGTGATAAATCCGGACTTGACGCGCCCATCAAGTGGATGTCTCAGTGTCACTGACGGAACCGAAACTGTTTTTATCTCCCGAAAGATGTGTCTGTCAGCTTGGAAGACAATATCAACATTAGGTCATAGGAAGCAGACCGAATAGAAAATGATGTCCTTCGGAGTTGCATTAACAAAAGTTTAATCTGTCCGAGTAAGAGAAGGCGTCAATTAACGTAGTGAAATGAAAGGGTAGCAGAGTCTATCGATGGAAAATTTCCCATAAACATGGGAAAACTAACAAGACATTACTTGACGTCGGAACCATTGATATCCCGAGCGGCATCTAATTATCCGAGCAGCTGAATTATTCAATATGTGCCAACAGAGTGACCGAAACAGACGCAAAGAGACTTCAAACGTAGAACGATTTAACACATTACGAGCGACCAAACTGGTGCATCTCCCATAGATTAGGAAAGGTGTATTTTCATTCACTGGCTTGTTTTCAAACCTGTTAGAGTAGGGGAAATAAAATGTATACGTAATATAAGAACAGCGGTTGGACGAAAAAAACTACACAAAGAGGGCCGAAACAGTAGAATTTATTGACATAATCTATCATAATAGTTCAGTTTGCAGTACACTATATACTTGAGATGAATCAGGGTCTTCGTATTTTGACAAAACCCATCTTCTTTCGTCACGTGCTTGTTGCACTTCCAGTCTGTAGATGCGTTCTCCCCGAAAATGTGCTCTTTTCAGGAGACGCAAACAAAGTTTCCATAATGTGGGCGCATAAAACCAAAGCAATCCTGTGGGGAATATTCGTGTTATGTTATTCAATCGGTAAAACAAAATCCCTCGAAAACGTCAATATTTTCTCCCTTGATTAAGTTGCCTTTACCGTATTTTCGTCGAAAACTGAACTTGGGTCTCAAAGCTAGAGGAGATCCTGGGGAAGAGTCGAGAAAAGCCCGATATTTTTGGTTTTTAAGGGTAGTGTTCCTAGAAGAAATAAAGTCTGGAAACATCCTAACATGCTTGCTCTGCTATCGTTATGCGTCGCCAACACTTCACGGCCCTCTCCCGACTTGCGTACTACTCCTGTACTGAGTGTTTCAGTTTTGCCACCTAGTTTTAAGTACTGATCTTCAGATGTATCAGTGAACACAACGGGCTGATAAATAAGTTAATCTGTACCAAAATTTACAATCAATCAAACATTGTCCTTTAATAAAGGTTTGGCAGAAAATCAGGGGTATACTGCCAGGCAACATTTCTACTTGAGGCAAAAGCATCATCCAGCAAAATAAACTAGTTGGAAGGCTGATCGCGTGTTAATGTACACGCAGAAAAAACGCCCAGCAGATTCTTGAACGACCGTGTAAATCTGCTGAATGCTTTGACCTGACTGTGAGGGTGGAGGGAACTCATAGTGAAGTACCGAGTAATTTTTACCCAAAATATATCACGGGGGAAAAAGGTTTGAAGTGCATGTTGTACTTGTTTCTGGTTTTTGTGTATGAAGCCAAAATCTCTTAGGGTTCAATTTGACGAGTTTGTGTCGGAAAAACTTGTCAGCTTTATGCATCACGCAGTTTAGTCCAGGTCTTTATG